CTCAGGGAAAACAGCCTATTGAACCAAGACCTAACACAGTGTATTCATACATATTCACAATGATTAAATGAATATGGTAATATTTTGTTATGGCTCTGTCGGTAACTTCAAGGGAAAAAATTCTCAACAGCCAAACAGCAAGAAATTAATTAAAAAAAAAAAAAAAAATGTATCTTAATATCAGGATAAATGCATAAATCAAAGTGCATGCATTATAAACTGAAAATGTATTATTGTGCTGCTCTATGATCTACCGATCACTGCTATCAAATAGTACAATTAAAAAAATTAATCAAATCAGTTGTATTCTTTCTCATGGCTCTTATCTGCAAATTTCCCTGAGTCCATTCAACTGAAAAATAAATATAAATAAATAAAATACAAAAATTTATGGCACCATAAAGCTAGCCTTGACAGCAGCCTCACTTTGTGATTTAGCATATGTGAACATAGCCTGTCTGGACTTAAGTCCTCGTTTTAATTCTTCCACCTTCTGTAGCTTTTGTTTATATTCCATATTCTGGTCTTTGTCTGTGTGTTTCTTAGACGTTTGATAGTGCCTTCTTAAATTCAATTCTTTCATTACAAATGCTCCTGTGTTGGTAAAGAAGAATCCACTCCAAGCCTCACAGACCAAAATCATCCACTGATTGTTCAGTAATCTTTGTTGAGCGATACTTTCCCTGACTCCCTGTGAGACTGAGCCTGTCCACTCCAGAGTCAGACTCTAGGTTGAAGTCCCTCCTATGAAGATTGAAGAGTGACAAAGCAGTGACAAATGACGTGTCATCAACATTTGGGTGATATATATGAGCAGTACACAGCCTCATAACTTGAATATGTACATAATGTTTTCTACAGCTGTCTTATGGGTCTGTAACAGAGCTCACGATGAAAGCTAAACTGTTCCACTGCTAAACTGAATCAGCCCTGAGTTTAAAGTATAGAACAGAGAAACTGGAAGGTGGTTCACAGTGCTGTTACAGGGCTGTAGATGCTGGAATGATCTGATGAACGAGATGTTACAATCCATTTAAATCTGGAAAACTAAGCAGTGAAGTCTTGAAAATTAATACAGAAAAACAAATTGAACTGTTTTATCTCAGTGATGTCATTTTTGCCTTTGTGATATTAGTCTATGATGTTACTGTTGCCATAGTGATGACACTGTTTGATGTCATGGTGATCTTCGTGATGTCAAGAACAATCTTCAAGATTCCACGACAAAACACTCCCCTGCTTTGGTGTTACCACAGTGATGTCACTGTTTGATGTCATTGTGGCCTTTGTGATGGAAGCATGTAGTTTCTGAAAGTAAGTGAAGCTGGTCTGACTCGCTGTGAAAGACATTTTTCAAGAAACACATAGTGTAATCTCGGAGCAGTTGGACTTCCCTGGGACCTCCCCTCCAAGGCCACCTTGGTCTGATACGTCCGATTCCTTCACCAAAATACAGATCATGCAAGACCGTACAAAAAGGCAAAAACTGATTGCTGTTTTTAGCTTGCACAAGCAAGACGAGGTGACCGAGTGGTTAAGGTGATGGACTGCTAATCCATTGTGCTCTGCACGCGTGGGTTCAAATCCCACCCTCGTCGGAGAGATCTTTTGATCATTTGAGTGCCCATCTCGGACACTAGGTTAGATAGTTAATTGAGCTTACACAGTGTTTAAGTGGTTTGAATGAAACCATTGACAGGAGAGAACAGGGTGATAATAGTTTTTCACGAAGGCCACAATGATACAACTGAATTGTGATTTTGTTTTGTTTTGTTTTGTTTGGTCGAATAACATTTGCTGATTTTTGGAGACTTGTCACTCTGGCCGTAGATGGATTGGTCTAATGAGAGGAACCACTTCCTTTGATAGCTCAGTTTCAGAGTGTAGATATTCAATAACAGGTATCCTTAGGTTGCTAGTTCAATTCTGGCTCAAAGGAACCTTTCTATCATGTACTATTGCAACATCGGTCCAAATGTTGCTCTATGCCCACCAAAAATACAGTTTCTCTAATCAATTTATTATATTCTATACACTAAACACAGGAGGATCTGGTGTCTGTGTCAGTTGTTTCTCAGTCTTGTCATTTCCTGTATTGACTTGTACGACCAACCATTTAGTCAAACGTCAAACGTGCTAACTGATCTTCAAAGCTGAGAATTGATAGGCTGCCTGAAGGGGGGAAGAAAGGAGAGGAGGGGGAGAAAAAAGGGGCTGGAGTGTCAGAGGGATGACCATTTTCTAGCTCTACTGTGTGAAAATCAATTGAACCTGCAGAAATACACATTTTTGATGGTTAGCTGTAGTCTGGGGATAAAAATTTGATTTATGATGAATTGAAACTGGGTCAACTCTGAGCTTTATGGACTGAGTTAGTGATGCAGGTTACCCTAAAACAGTCCATTGATAACAAAGAACTGCCTTCTGCAGCCTCTTTGTTCCACACACAATGCCTCTCAGCACACAGCTGTGATCGTATAGTGGTCAGTACTCTGCGTTGTGGTCGCAGTAACCCCGGTTCGAATCCGGGTCACAGCAAGCTGGTCAAAGTGTTTGATGTTGATTTTTTATTTAGCCAAATCCACTGTTTGGTGACTGTATATTGGGCTCTGCGTTCAAATCTTGTCTCTGGGCTTTTCATTATACAGATTTGTGGGGAAAAGTAGACCTTACACAATGTAAAGAAACGCAGTGGTCTTAGTCAGTAGCGTGTTGAGGTCAGAAATAGCAGTCATTCTTTCCTGTGTCTCTGGAAAATGAGTAGGATTGAGCATTTTATGTCTGTCTGTGACAGAAGTTTCTTAAAAAACAGGCAGCAATCGCAAGTTGATGTACAGTTGTGGTCAAAAGTGTACATACACTTGTAAAAAATCATAATGTTATGGCTGTCTTGAGTCTTCAATAAGTTCTACAACTCTTATTTTTCTGTGATAGAGTGATCGGAACACATACATGTTTGTCACAAAAAACAGTCATAAAGTTTGGTTCTTTCATAAATTTATTATGGGTCTGCTGAAAATATCACCAAATCTGCTGGGTCAAAAATATACATACAGCAACATTGGTATTTGGTTACATGTCCCTTGGCCATTTTCACGGCAACTAGGCGCT